AATGTTCTGCATTGCAAGTATGGGTTAGTACACCCACGTCAAGCTTGGGACTCTGCTTGATTGTGCCCCGCACTTGTATGATGTACACATAACAATGCTGCAAAACACCTTTTTTAGTAGTGCTGATAGACGTATGTTCTGGTTGCTATCACAGCGCATTTTACCTCTTACTTGGAAGACACCCACATGGCTGAATCAGTCCAGTCATGTGGTCTGATCTTGTTGTGCTTTTCAGGTAACTGCATGGAACAGAGGCGCCGACCTGTTTACATAAGACTTGCGTATAAAGGTGCTATGCCTGCACAGCCACACTCTATTCACGGAAAGTTGGAGGCGGCTGGCTACCCAGCTTATCTTTGTTTTTCCACATCTTGACCTCGAAAGTAAACGAAATAAAAATCATACGCGAGATGAACTTCTAGCGACATCTGCACTGAGAACACCAAGGCATCGGTCAACGTCAATAATATATGAACCGGTTAAGGCAGGTAGGGAGGGGTGGAATCCTGGGACCTGCAGCCTAAGCTGTTTGGAACAAGGATTGCAAAGGAGTTTGTAGTGGACCATAGAGTATGGACTTCGCTGGTCCACAGGACATCGGACTAGAGCTGTCTAGATCAGAGCTTGTGACCTTAAATCCACCACCAACCGAAAAACCATTGGGCAAATGTCTGTCTTTTATTCTCAACTGGACGTAATCCATTGATTGAAAGTTAGACGACCGTCACTCACATGTACTGTATTCATCGAACCTATCCTATTAATTTTTCCGTCCGTTCCCGCACCTAAAGCACTAATTACTTTTATTAATTTGAGTTGCCCATCCTCATATTTATTAGTGGTGTCTTATTGTTAAGTAATTATCAAAAGATTAAATGACCAGAATTCTGAATTCCGCGTCCTTTATGCGTAGCTGAAGTCTCCGGTAGATTTCCGAATTGTTTTGTATACTATTAGACTTTTTTGTTATTAGTCCTTTAAAATATGTCTGCGTCCGTCTTTAGCCGGAAGTGAGTGACATCCATCAGCTGGTCGCGGATCTAGAGGACGCTCGAGCAGAAATAAGTTCTCTGCGGGCCGAAATCGAAGGGCTAATGGTCTATCAAGTAAGTCTCATACAATCTGCTGCCTACTTCGGCATTTACCTTCGTATTTCTCGCATCTTACGCCTCTATCTCTGCTTTTTACATGCGGTTAACACAAAGTCCTTGACGCCGTGTCCTATGTGGCCTAGCAAGATCAACAGAGTTGTTTTTAAAATCTCCCGGATGCTTTCTGCCTGTTAAGAATATACTTCTATATTATG